ATATATATATATATATATATATATATATATATATATATATATATATATATATATATATATATATATTTATTGTGCATTTCCAGACCCAGGCCGACCCACTGCCACCCCTAAAAAATCCCCCCAACCGTAGCATCCAAATCCCAAAAACAATAATTGCCATTAAGCTGTCAGGAAACGCATTTGTCAGCCTCTAACCTCTCCAGTGAACAAAGAAAGAACCCCACCATAGAGACTTCATTTCCAATTTCTTTTTCTAAAATTCAGAGGAAGAAGTATAATAATAAGCTTAATACGAGACATGCCCCCTTACCGTCTGTTCAGTGTTGGACGATGACGATTGGAGAGGGGAGGGTATGTTAGGTTTGTAAATATGATCTAACGGCACCAGTTGGCGTTGGATGCTCCATACATGCCATCGACACATTAGATGCCCCAATTCTATAACCAATAACCATTGCAATGATGAAAACACATCACTCTACTTAGGAAAAAAGGATAAAAAAAAAAACGGAAAAGTAAAAAAGAGGAGCAAGAGGGAGGCCATTACTTTCAACATAATAGTCCATAGTTTTCATTCATCAGAGCAGTCCTTTGTGTATCACATAGGAAGTTCTGGATAAGCAAGCTTGCAGGAAAAAAAACACCATTACATTGTACCAGCTGCCGGATCCACTTCATTTTCTGAAGTGACTTGCTAAAGCATTTTTTTCCATAAATCCCTGCGGGGGGAAATATTCCATATAACCCGTCTGTGTATAGACTCAACCCAACATCCACCGTCCTTATTTAACCAAACAGTGGGTCATGAGTTGTTCCCGACTCTTATAGCAGCTCAGATTTTTGGGGGCAATGGTTACTCAAGTCCGATGCACATGTAAACATGGAAGATGGATGTTGAGTTCTCTATATGGTGTATGGTCCCATCCTCTCAATTATGAATGTCCAATGGGTTTTCAATCTCCACTATTGTGCAGACTGTCCAGGTAGAAATAGGTCCCTCATGATGTTATACTCCTCATTGCTAACTTGAGCATCCTCTAGCATCTGTTCCACCCAAAAAATTCTCAAAGGAAAGAGATCTAACAGGATAGGTAAAAATATAAAATGGAAATAAATTCATACCATCATTTTCAGAAAAACTAATAGTGTGTGTTTTTTATAAAATATAGCCAAAACCTTTCAGAAGCTAGTACACCAGATCATGTATATATTACTCCACTTAAAATTATCAGTATGCACAGAAAAGATCCAAGGGATTTCATATAACTAAGCCCACCCAGCAGTTGCATTCCGCTGCTTAGCCAGCCATTTAAGCAGCTAAAATCATTGGAAGAGCACATATAACCTTGCCCGAAGTTGAATAACAGCAACATTACATGGCTTACACCAATTAAGCTCAACTCTTAAAGTTACACATGGGAGTTAATCTAATATTCATTTACACTCAGTTGCAGCAAAAGAAAATTCTTTTACAGATTCACCTAAAGCAAGTAAAAGTCAACCTAGACCTTTATTTGAAATCGCAAGCTGAAAACAACTAGCCAATCATTTACCAAGCAAAACAAAACCAACTAGCTTTGGTCTTTTGTGTCTCTTTCCATGGTCATGACATGTTGCAAGCAATCTCACCAATTTCCCTAGATGTCGCCTACTATGCTAATTGTAGTTCAGTCACTCGAAAATCAACACTCCAAATGGGATCTTATCTTATTTCTCACTAACTGGATAACTAAAACACGACATATAATTTGAACACAAAAAATTCTTTAGCCTAGCCCCTCAACAAGTAAAGTTAACATACACACAAGCAAGCCAAACCATCCTCACGTGAAACATCATTTTAGTCTAGCAGCTTCACATTCTTTTCTTTTCTTTGTGTGTGTATGTGTGTGTGTGTGTGTGGGTGGGTGGGTGTGTAAGCAGGGATTCAATTGTTAAACATAAAGAAAAGACGTTGATACTACATATGCAACTTAAGTGTTGGTATTGGAGAGTGGCATTTGTGCCTCAGCTCTTCACACCCTAACTGGACATTCAATTGGCAGCACTATCCAGCTATAATCTTATCTGAGAAAAAGAATTGGATTTCAATGTACACTGTAGAAGGATCCACATCAGCAATATTAAGAAGAAATCCATTTAGAAACATTAGGGCTACATATAGGAGGTATTTTTACGCCATAATTTTGTACGGAGCACAATGGAATTCTACATCTACTGCATCAGCAATATTAACAGGTGGCTCTTGCTGATGCCATATGCAAGTAATTTGCTTCATAGACCCTTTGTTGCTACAACTTGAAATAACCCAAAAAAATAAGAGAGGAAAATTATATCACAAAGTTTGCCTTGCAGCATTGACATGCATAACTTACTGCATCTTGAAAATACAAATCATCAAAAAAAAAAAATAAATCGGAGATGGAGCTCACACAACCCAGAAAGTAATGAAGTAATGTAGCCTGTCACTTCACTCATAAAAGAACAGATATCAAAATCCATTCAAATATGATCAGCCAATTAAAATGGAAGGAACCATAAACCAATGTACTCCCGATCCACACAAGAATCAGGGTCAAAACCAAACAGATCATACATCAGCATTATTAGGGGCTTTGCTGGCAAGGAAGCCCAAAGGTGTCTTTCTCGTTTCTGATATATTTCCCTCAAAATGATAAGAAAGAAATTCCCCGACACAAACAGAAACCTACAACGGGCCAAATTGAAGCTTTCCAAATCGGTAGATAACATGGGATCTTGAGTCCAAAATCCTCATTGTTTCTGAATTTTCTCATATAGTCGATTACAGCTGCACATGACAAAATGCAGTAGCCTCAAATAAACTACAACTCGCACAAAATTTAGACCATCTCTTCATTATTTTTTCACTATTTCATTGAATTTCTGAAATTGACTTCCATCTTGCGTAATTCTCTATTAATTTCACACTTCTTAAAATTTTCAGTTACCAGTTTACTATGGCATAGCATTTTGATTCTTCAGCCAATCTGATGCAGAGCACAATGCAAATATGAGGGGACAAATGATGCATATACAAGGCATAAAATACAAGCGAAATTCATACCAGGAATAGAAGAGATCATTAGGACTTGAGTAAATATACACTCATATCCAAATAACAAAATTTTTATTTCAAATCTACATATATGCATAATACATGGATTCACACTAGTTGTACAGCTGCCTCACCTTGTGAACCAGTGTTCTTCTGCTTGCAATATGTTGTTCAAGAGCCGGAACTATGTGAACTGAGAGAGCATCTAGGAATAGAAGAACAATAACATGCCACTGCTTCATTCTAAAGGGTGGTAATGCTTCTGTAAACGTCATTGTGTCAAGTAGCCTGCCCTGAAAAGCAAACACAATCTTAGTGAAATATTACAATAGTCTTAAAGTACAGAAGAATCATAATAATTCATGATAATCAAAGCTCACAACTAGAATCGATCAATTTTCATTGGATGAAACAAACCGAACAGAAATGTAACTCAGAACCTCGGTGACCAGGGTCAGAATCGCCCATACCCAGAACCTGCAGGGTGGCACTTACGGTTGAGGAACTTCAAAAATTGCCTGATTCTCACAAGGTCATGGACTGATTGTGTTATTTTTACAAGGACTTGGCCAAGTCTTGGTGAGACTCAGCTAAGCTGGACTGCTGACTCAGCTTAAGACTTGAGCAAGTCCAAGCCAAGTCAGTGTTTTTAATCGCTGCATCAACTTATATCATTTGGTGAACATGTTATTATGCTTACAGGGAATTTTAAAATTTTCGCTATTAACGACATCAAAAGTAAGCGTATTTTATGCTTCAAGCCAAGCTCAATCAAATGGATAATATTAGAAATATTCTAGACAGAGCATCATCATCATTTATGCCTTGCGCCCTCATTTATGCCATTCTAGACAGAGCAATGATTGTTTAAAATCTCGCATGTTTGTTCCAAAATATCAAGTGACATATCAGTGAAGGACCACGGCAAGATCCCCAAGTACCACGAAATCGCCCTGTTTGTCCAATACATCAGTAAGCCCGCATGGGAGAGTTTCTGCTAAACCTTTCAAGCTGCACCGAGATCAATAAGGCATGATTCCCATCCGCATTTAGATTCTGCATAAGGCCCTTTAGAACCATATTGTTTAAAAAAAGGGAAAATTACTATATATCCCCCCCCCAAAAAAAAAAAAACAATCAACAAAACGGGAGGAATGTTATCCAAATGATGTCCCCTTGTTGAAAAGTCCCTTACACCCATTACCCTAAAATATATATTTTTTTGTTTTTCATCTATCCCCCTGGGGTACTTTTCAGCTTAATTTGTGACTAAAATACCCTTACTAATAATGGCTCTTACAAAGTCAAAATAAATATTTGTATTTCGCCATCTGTCTTTCGCTTTTTTCTTTCGCATCTCTCTCTCTCTATTGCTTTCCTCTTTTTTCTCTCTCTAAGCCTACCTTCCCCAATCTTAGTCGTTTAGTTGATACAATGCAGGATAATGTTCCTCTAGTTGCAATTACTGGTCAGGTTCCTCAAACGAATGATACGGACTGATGCTTTTCAAGAGCACCCCATTGTTGAGGTGACGAGGTCTATAACCAAGCACAGTTATCTTGTTCCTAATGTCGATGATATTCCTAGGGTTGTTAGAGAAGCTTTCTTTCTAGCTTTGTGGGGTCGACCTCATCCTGTGTTGACCGATGTGCCTAAAGATGTTCAGCAACAAATGGTGGTACCTGATTATTATCAACCGATGAAAATTCATGGTTATGTTAATCAATTACCAAAAAACCCTGAACTTTTCAGTGGAAAAGACTGTACCATTATTTTAGGACCAAAAGGCCTGTTCTTTATGTTGGGGGTGGCTGTTTGAATGCTGTGGAGTCGAAGAGGATTGTTGAGCTAACTGGGATACCAGTTGCTAGGACTTTAATGAGGTTCGGAGCATATCCATATTCAGATGATCTCCACTTGCATATGTTAGGATGCAATGAGCTAAACTCTAGATAATTTAAAGCAAAGAAGCAGAAACAAGAAATTCCAAAGTTGAAACTTCCAAAGCTTCATGTAAGCTCAATATAAAGGGATTCCATGTACTTGTACATAGAATCTAAAAGTTTTGTTGTTTGTTTTTTTTTTCTAAGAATATATGCATAGAATCCAGAAGTTCAAAGTGTCCTATAGCCTCTTCATCTACTGCCCTATAGCCTTTTCCCTCTGGGGTGCCCTGCAACAACTTTTTCAATGGCATTGGGTAACCCCCAGAACCAATCCCCCTCCCATTCTCCTCGCTCCACTTATGTTCCTGGGGCTTCTCAAGTTTTTCTACTGTGGAAGGCTTCCATTGCTGCTTTGCTCTGGGAGATTTGGAGAGAATGCAATAATCAAAGATTCCAGGTGCAAAGATCCACCACTGCGCAATGTTCAAAAGGATCAAATCAGCAGTCATCTTTTGGGAAACCAACCACAAGATACAAAGGCTTCTCCTCCATGGCTTTCCATCTCAATTGGCATGACGTACATTTCGCAACCCAGAGCATCCCCCGTGTCTCTTTGTGGAGACCATCTGAGCCAGGTTGTGTTAAACTTAATTTCAACGGTTGCTCCCTTGGCAACCCTGATCCCGCAGGCATCGAAAGCCTCTTTAGGAACCATAAAGGTTTGACTTTGGCCGCTTTCTCGAAACACATCAGCCACTCAGACTCACAAAAATCCGAAGCCCCAGCCTTACTTGAGGGGCTCAAACCGTTTGACAGATCCTGGACCCATTCACTGAAAGTTGAAGGCGACTCAAGCAATGTCATATCCTGAGCTTCTGGTGCAGCTACCTGCCCATGGCCCCTAATCCACATCTTTGACATATCTTTCACATGAACCAGGGACTCATGATCACTTGGAGACATGTTTACTAAGAGAGCAACTCATCTGACTCTCTTGCCAAGGCGGGTGTTATAAATGCCACTGGCTGAGTACTTTTTTGCAAACCCAGCCTCACCCCCAGCACCCACTCCTTCCCCTCTTACTGTTTTTGCTTTATACACTTCCCCCTAAGGCATTTTTGTATAGTGCTTCCTGAATACGGGAAGCCATTTTTTGTAGTAAATAGCCCCTGAATTGCTCAGGTGGCCTAATATTGTACTCTTACATCCCCAATTAATACAATTGTTAACCTTTTCAAACCAAAAAAAACAGCCTTATTGCCTAAGAATCAATCACTGAATATGATTTGCTGGTGTGTATGGATCATGTGATTCGTGACTTCGTGATTTATGAAGCAAATTGCAGCTCGTGGTACTGACCACCAACTGCCCATCCTTTGTTGAGGGAGCAACCATCTTAGAAGATGAAGCACTTGCGCTGCTCCTACCGACAGATACACCAAGGCAAATTCCCTCACAAGGTTGAAAGCACTATAGCTGTACTTAAGACTACAGATTATACTAACAGCCTGAGTGAAGTGGGCAAGATACTATGGAAGGAGCAGCGAATAAAAGAGCAAAATGTGTGTTCCATCCAAATGATCACTTTCACCAACATACTTAGCTCCCATATCCTGCCAGGCCACCATCAACCTACCCATTTCCACCTTATATAATTTATATCATGCTCATGAATGTTCCAAATTTTTATTTAACACAAACTAAAACAATCAGTAATTAATGTCCTTCAAAATTCAGCAGCAATTTTATGAAAGACATGCAAACCAAGCTGCATTTATTTTAACCAACACTAGAAACTTCATGCTTATATGTTCTCAGATTCAAAGCTAAAAATTGTAACAAACGATGTACATTCATTCGAATGCTGTCTTAATCTAGGAACATAATTACAAAATCATTTATCTTCTTCACAATGTGCTTCAGCTGAACTCACTCTAGAGTTTGATTCTTCATCAGCAAGCTTGTACTAATTTATATTAAGACAATCAACTATAAAAGGGCACACCAACAGATCTGCTTGAATGGTCTGGCATGTGTATTAACTTCCACAAACAAGAACTTTCACAATGATATCTCAAATAGAAAACACAAATCACCATGCCCATGGGAAGATGTACACACAAGTGATATGAGTTCCCATTGGTCTAGGGTATGTAATTGAGGTTCACCCAATATAGGCCTCAGCTAGGAAATGTTATATTAAAGTGACAGTACAGATAGTCTATTGCATATTTATAAAGCTCAATAATGAAGAATTATGAAAATCACAAGAAACTAAACCAAAAGAAGTACCAGAGCTACTTCGAGAGTTGAAATAGGAGTCGGTAACTTGATATTCGCTACAACTCCTGGTAATGCACGAGCAAGACAACCAGAAAGAGTTTCCTTAATCTCAGAAGAAAGGCCGTCTCCCAGGACAAATTTATGTGGATACTCCCTCCCATCGACAACTACAAACTCTTCCTCAGCACTTTCAGCTCTCCCATAAATATAAGCCATAGAAGATGCAGTTACCCATCCAAAAAGCGCCATCCACATTGTCGCGAATGACGATAACTGCCAGATTCAAAACTCCATGCATCATAGAAATTTGACATATGGTCCTAAATGAAAGAAATGGAATCACTCCATGAAAGAAAAGGAATCACTCCAACATATCTCGATATGAATGAAAAATATCAGGGGCACTTACAGTCAAACTAAAGCCCTCTGGAGGTGCATCATACCAAGAATCTTCCTCAGTGTCAAAGGCTCCAGTGTGCAATAAAGAAGGCCTCTTAACCCATTTTTCTCCTTCCTCAGGTTTTAGTTCATCAGCCACTTTTTGAATGTTTTCTTCTTCTACACTGTTTGGACATGGGAAGATGAGAATTCCAGCTTCAGAGGCTGCAACAAAAAGGAAAATTAAAGAGGAAGACTTCAATCAATCTCTCATGAATAAACAACAAATAATAAAACTCATACAACAGATATTTCTCTTACCAGCATCAAGGGTATTAGATTGGCCAGAAGCAACAGCTGCTGCTGCCTCAGTTAATGCACTTGCACATGCTTCTGCTGAAGCACGTCGAGAGGAAATCATAGTGTCCTCGACACTCAATGAATCTGAGCTCTCTTTGCATTTCGAACCAGATTCTATCCCTTGGCAATTGTTTAATGTCATATTTTGGATGCCCTCAACTATTGTTTGCTGCTCATCAGCCCATGAAACCGTACGAGTAGAAGCCTTTGCACCTAAATTCTTCAAAGCAGATCGTAATTTTGTTTCTTTTGGGTGGGATTGGGACTTTTCCTGAGCATGCTGTTCTCTTTTTGAACCTTCAACATTTACGTGAACGTGGTCATTTACGAATTTGGAACTTGAATTCTTTTGGAGGTTGCCGGAAGATGGTTCTCCAATTATTATTGTACTGGCGAAATTTGTCTCAGGATAAATGGGGTCCTTTTTCGTGGTTGACTTGCCACTTTTAGACCCTGTGGTATATATGATTAAGAACATTAATTAGATATCATGATAATTAAAATGAGAAAAAAAAATGAGCTAGCAAATCGTATACACTTTGTTTACCACTTAAGCAAGCTAGACTAATATTTACATGGTGCAAATAGATTTGACCAATTATACAAACAGCATAAACCCATCTCTCACAGAGTGAGACAATTATGTGAAGGATAGACAAATACCCACAATATTTAGTAGAAAAATATTTTAAGATTAACAAAACTGATAAGAAATTCCCCTACTATTTAGTAGGATTTACTATTTAAGCAAGTATAACCCACTCATTTGACATTGGGACCAGCGTTCCAAAAGTCCCGGGCAGTGCCTAGGCGGCCATGGGGTCCTGGCTGGCCAGCGCCTAGGTGGTTGCCCAAGGACCTCGGCAGCCCAGGCTCAACAGGGGGCAGGGGTGCCTACAGAATCCTGTTTTAGGTCCACATTTTGTGTAAAACAAATTGCATACTCGGGCCTTTTTTACGCATTTTTATTGGAAATCATGCCAAATCCAAACCAAAGTAATACACTACTACAAAAAATACAGTCCATAACCAAATAATCTAACCATAATCCATACCAATCCATAACCTCAATCCATAGTTTATTACCATTCCATTCTATAGTTCCATGCACATGATCCACAATCCATAGTAACCAAACCAAAGTAAATCCACACACTCCATAGACTCACTCCATATTCCATAAACAAAAGGCAGAGTACCACACTACCATATACATGTGCAACACGAATATGAGTATATGACAATAACACATTAACACATCATAAAATTTTAAAATCCAAACAAAAGTACTAGCACAACCAAAAATACAATACAATCACAATCTATTGTCCATAGTCCATACCATCCCATAATCCATACACATAAGAGGAAATAAGAATCTAGACTTGAAGAAATTTTTGAGGTTTTTTTTGGTAGTTTTAGCAGGGGAAAAAGTGAGATTTGAGGTGCCAGCCAGGATCCCTGGGTGAACGCACAGGGACACCCCGCCTAGAAGGCCTGCACAGGCCTTGGCAAGGCGCCTTGGCCCTCCTGACCTGCAGGCGCCTGCCTAGGTGTTCGGCGGATCGCTTTTAAGAACACTGATTGGAACATTTTGGAACAAGGACATTCATACTTGGAAGGATAGATTTATAAGGTAATGAGACTAGTAAAATGTCTAAACAAGGTAAAAATTTTGAAATCCACAGTAACGTGCAGTGTTTTAAATTGTCATGCAGACCTGATGCAGCAGGGATCCGATGTGGCAATGCGGCTTGATGCGGTCCCAATGCGGACACATCACCTCTAATGCAGTCAATACATTTAAAAAAAATTCAAAAAAAATAATAATATAAAAAAAAATCAATGTGATTCATGTGGTAGTAGGTATTTAAATTTAATCAATATCTATAAAATATTAGCTATCTAAGCCTTTGAGTCGATGATAGTTTTGATAAAAACAGTAATAGAGTTTGTTGTTCTAATATCTAATCTTTTACAGTTTAAATGCCTAATACAATTAACTTGTAAAACAAAGTAATCCATTCCATCTCATGTAAAATATCCATAGCTCCAAACTTCAAAGTTTAAACTCCAAAGAGTCAAAGACCAAAAGTTTGTCTTTATGACATGTAAAAAAAAAGATAATCAATTTTCAACTCCCAATCAGACAAGTCATAAAATACTTGAATTTCTTCTATCAATTCTTTTTGTTTCATTTTCTTCTTTTCCTTCGCTTTTCTTGGCTATCTTTGTATCCTCTAATCTCTTTTCAGATCTCATCGGTTGCTTTTGGGCATGCTTTAATATTCCCAGTAATATCGGTTTAATCACCTTAGGATCCTTTTTTTTTTTGGTTTTATGTGTGTTTGTTTTCCCTTCTTTCTTTTCCTTTTTTTTTTGTGTGTGTGTGTGGTGGGGGGGGGTAGGGGGGGGGGGGGGGGGGGGTGGTGAGACAGGGGACGCAGCAGGGAAGGGGTCGGTTTGGGACAATTTTGTCTATTCTCTATGCTCATGGGCTTATTTTCCACCCACGAGCACAGATCGCATATGTGGCTGCATCGCTCGTGATACATTATGGCCTCATATGTGCGTGACACCTCATATGCATATGTACGTGACACCTCATATGCAACTGCAACACTTTTTTTTGCATATGCGGCCCAGAGCAATGCACTCCAGACTGCATAACGCATTATGTGGCCGCATAACGTGCTATGTGGCTGCATTTTAAAACTAACATGTAACAGTATTTACTCTAAGCGACTAATAATTATTATGTGAAAATGAAATAACTGATAACACTGTCTAAAAAATGGCCATGTCATGTTATGTAAATTCCTATCATATGAAATGATCTAATTATCATTAATGAAAAAATGGGGCTGCTAAAAAATGGGTCGCTTTTCAATCATTTTGCATCTTTTTGAAAATTAATGCATTAAAACACAAGATATTGAGAACATATGCATAAAAGCATATACATATACAAACTTAAATAGTATACTTTATGTCAAGATAAAAGCAATCCCTGCACCAATCCTCTTTGAAGCACAACAAACCCAGATCCTAAGCAGGCTGTAAGAACACATTGCTCACTCCAAGCCATCACCTATTAATTGCCCACCAGGGATCTCATCTAAAAATCAATACATCGTAACATATGGGAAGTTGCATAAACTTTAAAACAGAGAAATTCAAATTTAAAGAGAAAGGATGCAAGTCAGACCATATGAGCAACCTTATGTCAATTCTTTGGTAAAAGTTTGGTAAAAGGAAGTCAATGGGAACTCAACATCAGTTTCTTCCGTAACTTAACTAGTAATATGAGAAGGAAGAATTATGATTCAGGAGCCAGACTTCCACAGACTTTCTATGAGGGAGAGGAGAGACTGATGGCTTTTACAGAAAATTTATAGGGCAATAAATGCTAACCATTTCTAATGGGACTTCCCAGGGATAATTGTGCTGTCTCAAGTAAAGCTAAAGCTCCTGGTCCTAATGATTTCTCAGCTGCATTCTTTCATGCCATTTGGGATATCAATAATGATCTTATGTATATCTTGAAGATATTTCTTTTCTTCCTCTATGATAATCGTTAAGACTAATAGCACTTCGGTCAAATTGATCTCAACAGGGGAGGAGGGCAAAAGACACCGAATTCTTAATTTGGATAAAGAATTATATAAAAATGCTACAAAGGTAACTTTCAAGAGAAATTAGTTATACAATTGATCATTTCCCAGGAGCCAGGAGGCTGCATGAATGTTCATATTATGTTATAGCTCAAGAATAGAATCCTCAATATTTTGCATAAGTTAAAATTTGAAATTATAAATTGTTGAGCACTAGACCTAGAGAAGGGACACTTAAGATTGTATATATGTTCAGATCTGAAAACAGCATTTGGTTATGTGGATTCATCAACTTATGTGGATTCATCAACTTTGTAAACACAATATGATTATCCGAATCGGGTGTTCATCATGTACAGGCTTTAGAGGGAAGAGGCAGAAAAATTTCAAGTCTTGCATTTCACTCTCCATAATAGATTGAAATTCAAAGGTAATATCGGTGCACCACACTTGTTAACCAGTTTCAAAAAGAAATATTGGTGCCCCACAGTCTAAGAGAATGGAACCCCATCTTGTAGATCATTATGCTCGAATCATTAAGCAGAACTTTGCAGAAGTGGATTGTTTCATATAGCATTTTTCATATGTAGCATCTTTTATATAACAAATATAGCCCCAGGGCCATTGCCCACTTGAAGAAGGGACTTCACCAAAGTGATTTTCAATGTGTAACTCGCCTTTTTTGAATAATCTTGCATTTTGCAGATGACCCTATTGTCTTTCCTATGCCTCAGTTAAAGAAGAAAAAAAAAACTGACTTGAACCAGACCTGAATTGTTCAACTTTTATCCATAATAAACAGATATTTAAATGAACTGAACTTTGGTTCATTCCATACCAATGTAGCCTCCCAGTGAGCCAACATTATGAATCCAAACCCACTCTTTTCACTAACCATCCCAAATTCAGCAACAAAATTTTTGAATCCAAACCCACGCTTTTCATTGGCCATCCAAAAGATAAGCAAGATATTCCCTGATTCACGATTTAACCCAAGTGAGTGACTCTCTTCATCTCCCAATATATGTGCATTCAATTTAAGTAAGTATCCAGCTAAGGGAACTTGAGCCAATCCTAAAAGTAATTGTGACTGGCTTCTCCGGGTTAAAACATGAAATTTCAACTTCTTTTATCAAATTAGCCCAAAAAACCACAAATTACCTTTCCTTTGAACCGGAGGAACCTGATCTTGTCGAGGCACATACCCCTCAATTGCATTATACGGTCCCACAAAATCCATAGACTGAATATCACCAACACTCACATCTTCTTTCTCATGTATCGTCAAACTAGAAAACGCTAAGCTTATTTTTTCATTCTTCTCTGCACCACCAGCATTACTCTCTTCAATACTCGGTGAACTGAACAAATTCAATATCTCCGCAATTTTACCAGGGTCTGAGAACTCACACCTCTCAGGCTTCAACAATTTTGAGAAGGCCTGGCTGTTAATTACACATTCAGGTGAGCAATAAAGCCATGTCTCCTTGAGATCGTAGACCGAGTGCTCCTTTAGAGATATCCTGTATCGCCCCTTCTTTGGACGATCACATGGAAGGTATTTGTTGCAGAGAGGGTAACCACATAGATTAGTGATGGTTCTTTCTGTGACAACGTCATCGTAATCGCTTCGAGAAATTAGGTTCGCAGCTGCAAGAAGCTGGTTCTCTTTGGAAATTCCGTCTAGGAGATAGGTCTGGATTTTATAAATGGCGTCTTTTAGAGAGGGAATAGAATTCATGGCCATGGTGAAAAATGAGACAGAGAAAAGGGATGAACCCTAGTTTTCTGAGCAGGTCTAGAGAGAGAGAGGAACTAAGTGGAGCTTGTTGTTGCCTCCTTTCAGAGGGAGAATTGCATCCGTCACCACCAAATGAGCTTTGAAGAGACAATTGAAGGGGAAACCCTAGGTTTCTGGATCAGTCGAAGGAGACAAATGGAGCCAGTGAAACCTCTCAATGGCGCCTTTTCAGAGAAAGAGAGAGGAGTCAATGTCCATGAGTTGTGAGTAAACCCTAGTTACTGGTTGCCATTAGAGAGAGAGAGGGATTTGCTGATTGGTGATATATAGAGAGAGAGGTATGGCGAAGCTTCCCGCCTAATAGCCGTAACTTATGACGGTGGTGGAAGAGTCCGCTTTGCTTTTACATTTGAAGTTTTTCGGAGAATATTTTCAGTCGATGACGCTTTTACCCTGACGGGGATAAAGTAATGGGAAAGCTTTCTATGTTGCCCCTGTAACATAGATGTTCTCCTACCATCCGGCCGTTTCATTTTTTAATGAAGGGAGTCACTCACCGTTTGATTTAGATCCAACGTTTCAAAGTATTTTATTTTTAATTTTTTTAATATAATTTTTTTAAATATGAAATTTAGTATGTATCATATTTTTATTGAGACACACCTATAAAAAATATTAACAATAATTTTTTGATAAAAACCAATGACCAAAATACCATTTGAAACTTTCAAAGATATTTTGGTCATTTTATTCTATTAAAAATATTTTTTGTATATTTTTCGTTAGTGCGAGTTTAATATAGGAATATACGTCTAAAATTTAGTGTCAAAAAAGTTTATAAAAAAAATTAAAAATAAAACAGTGTATAGACACGACATTGTGATTGGGGCAATCTTAACCCTCCATTAAAAAATGGACGGTTAGATAAGGGGACATAGAACTTCTATATTGTAGGCGAACATAAACAGCTTTCGCTAAAGTTACTCCAAGCTTTGCTTTTTTTTTCTTTTCTTTTTTTTAAAAAAAGTTTATATAAAAGGATCATCTAGAATTGAGGCATTCGATGTTAAAAAACCTTTCAATTTGATTATTTATACCTAAAGATGCATAGATACAGAGAAAAAAATAATTTGCAGTTTTAAAAGTAGCATATCTTGTGAAAATTTCTTTGGACCGCCTAGTTTTAAGTTTTTTTAATAATTATGGATATGCTCAATCTATACTATTTTTAGAAGGGTGCGGTTTGTATAGAGCCTAGGCTCTAAATAATCAAATTAAAGCCTACCTTCAAATAGTATTGAGAAATGCAGTTTCAATATTGGAAATCTTTGTGATAGCCTTAAAATATATGTTCATCTTTACTTACAAAGTTTAAAGCTTAAAAAATAGTGTAGATCGAGTAGGCCTATGAAAATTTGGAAAATTTGAAAATTGAAGGTCCAAAAATGCATTACAAAATACACTATTTCCAAAACTTGAAATCCATTTTTTTTTCTCATTGTCTATGCATATTGATGTCTAGATGATCAATTTGAAGATATTTGGGTATCAAAACAATATTTTCTAGTGATATTTTTGAGGTAGGATCTAATTTGATTGTTTAGAGCCTCGGCGCTATATAAACTTTTCCTTTTTTAGAATGGGATTGTAATACAATGAGACTATTTACCTTTTATATAAGGTGGTCACAATTATGTACAACCATCCCATGTGAAATCCGATAGCTTGAGTGTCACAAAATTTAAGAAAACTTTCTTTGAAGCTTGAGCTTGGTCAATGAAATAAATGCAACAATCGAATTTCACATCTAATGGTCAAGATTAATTGTGACCACCTTGTACCGATGATAAATGGTCGCATTTTTTTTAGAATTTTAAAATTTATAACTATAAATAGTAGTATATTTTCCTATCATCATAAGGATTCTAACATCTACGTAAAATTTAAAGATGCCTATAAGGAGGGCACCTTATACATACCTCACCTTTTTTTAATAATAATGATTTCAAAAGAAATCAAATTACAAAGCAAAACCAAGAGTAAAACAAAATCAATAGAAAAACAACCCTTCCTCAACTGTGCAACACCAACAAATCCCCACTCTTAACCCTACTTAGCGGGTCATACGCTTTTCTATTAAGTTCTCAAAAAATATGTACAAAAAAAACATTGAGCCTCTCGCACTTTTCCAAAATTGGAATTCACAAACTTAAGCATATGGAATCATCCACTCCAATTTGCACTAATTAATGATATTCAATGAGACACATTCTATCGCTAGATTATCCCCTGAACTTTTATCCACAATGATGTTCAGGATGACAATTAAGGCTCGTATCTCGCCCATGTTAGTTCTAAGTACTCCACATGGACCAAAAAATCTAACCAACATAGTCATTATGATCCTGACCACCTACGCTTGTTGGTCCCATATTACATAGAGAGTTACCGTCTATATTTAATTTAATTACTTCATGAGGTGGAGTTCACTAGGCGCCACCACCCTGCTTTCCCATATTTATTATATTTTCAATATTGAACTAGAGATTTGGTCACTTAGCGTTGAGCTTATTCCTAAAATTATTGTATGTTTAGCAATTGAGATCAAATAAATGCTCTTCATTATGCATCTCTTCTCAAGTTTTTTCCTTAAAGATTTTTCCCTTTAAAAACTTATGTTCTAGTGTCAATTAGAAAACTTAAAGAAAAAACTCATTGATTTCAATGAGAAACTTATAATTCACAAGGCAAAAAATTGTTTTTTTAAACAATATTCTGTAATTTTATTTCTTGAAAAGAGATTACAATAAGAACAAGGCAAAAATTGTTAATGGAACAACAAAGTCTTGTTTCGACAAAAATGCAAGTCATATTTTTTTAATACGTAAGAAGTGTATGCAAAGTTGCAATTTTACTGGTAGAAATAATGTTATAGCAATCTAAATAATTTACCTTATTTGGATGGTATAAACTTGATATATTCTTCAAATTTGTGTCACTTTTTTATATTATCTTAATAGACATGTCAATTATAATAATGGCATAGGATGTCGTAACTACTTTGTATAAACCACATCTTTCCAAAACCTGTAGTTACAAAGAAGTGTCTTGTTTATATCAAGTGTCAACCTTAAAATAATCAAAATGCGGCTCTACACGCCACTGAAGATAGTTTTGTGTTAGAAATAAAAACAATAATCGAAAAATCCATTTCAACCCATAATTATGAAATTTAAGGATAAAAAAATAGTGCAAATCTAGGAGATTTGTAAACGATGAAAATAAATAGTGGGGATAATGTGCTACAAAGATTAATTATTTTGTCACTTTTTTTTTTTTATAAAAAAAACGTTTGGTGAGTCAGTTGGTTCACACTATTTTTGTGCAGTCTCCCTACAAAATATAATTCGAAGATGTGCTTCAATCCAAAGATTTAGGTTTCAATAATCTCAACCATGGCAATGATTAAAATATAATGCTATTTTTTTTTAATTTCTTTCTTCACCGTCCATTTTAACTTTTAGTAGATGTAACATGTTTTGACATGGACATTAGATAGGCAAGGGACTTCACGTTAAAAATGAGCTTGCTGACTCACCAAAACCACTCTTTTTTTTTATCCATACATATTGAGGTCGAGATGATTAATTCAAATGTTTTCAGTCTCGAAACAATCTTTTCCTGCGTTGTTTAGGTACTCCTCATTTTTATAAGGTTGACACCTTATGTGATAGAAATGATCTCTATGTCTGAATGATCCGTGAGCTATGTGCCACAATATGATGTCCAAAGTTTCATTCTCACACTATCCCAAGTTACATTAAAGAATTTTTTTACCAAAAGAATTTTTCATTTGAAAACTTGTGTTCTAATTTCAATTCGAAAACTAAAAGGAAAAACTCATCCATTTCAATGAGAAACTTATATAATTCACATGGAAAAATACAATTAAAGAAACAACAAATCCTTGTTTGGACAAAAATGCAAACTTATTACATGGAAAAATACTATTAATAAAACGACAAAGCCCTGTTTTGATAAAAATGCAAGTCATATCTTTTGAATACCGAATAACTGTATACAAGGTTGCAATCTTCCTTATATAAGTAATGTTACAGTAATTTAAATTATTTACTTTATTTGGATGGTATGAATATGACACATCATTAAAAAAAGTGATACGTTTTAATATTATCTTAAAAGACATGTCAAATTTACGTTGTTCCACTAAAATATATGGTATATAATGCCATAATTACTTTGCATAAACTGCATATTTCGAAAATCTTTAGATACAAAGAAGTACCTTGTTTATATAAAATGTCAACCTTAAATAGTCAAAAAGCACCTTTGAACCCTACGAAAGGCGCAGTTTGGTGTTAGAAATCCAAATGACAGTCTAAAAATCTATTTCAACCCCTAATTATGAAAATTAAAGCTCAAAGATGAATTATTCTGGCACTTTTCTTTTGTTTTTTTAAATCTACACGTCTTGAGGTCAAGATGATCAATTGGAAGGTGTCCAGTTTTAAAACAATCTTTTTCCTATGGTTTTTAAGGTGCACCCCATTTTTATAAGGTTGGCAACTTATGTAAAAGAAATGACCACTATGTCTGGATGGTTAGCATGACACAATATGATGTCTAGATTTTCATTCTCATATTTCTTAAGTTTTTTTGGGTAAATCAGTGGGAGAGAAGGCCCTCTACTTGTTTTTTAATTAATATTTTAAAATAAAAAAGATTACAACTCATTTCTTTACAACCGTGGAACATGGCACCTATGACAAATCATGAAGTAAAGCAAGGGAAATAAAGTCCAGTGGACAAGAACGCCAAACAATAGCTTGTAAATGAGATGTGACAATCTTTGCAAGAATTTCGGCCACCATTTGGCCTCACGAAAAAAATGGGTAATAGACCACCCATGATTAGAAATACGTTGTCTACAATTTGCTACAACTATATATAACTTCCAAGGAGTCGATAGTGTTATGAATAGCATTACAAGTAAGTTTGAATCGCCTTCAATCGGAAGAGGGAAACATTTTAACAGAACAACGAGAGTCAGACCTTCTTCAAGAGCAAAGAATTCCGCATAGTTATAAGAAGCGCTTCCAAAAGGTTTTGAAAACATTGCAATAAAGGCATCATCATTGTCTCTAATAACACCACCCCCACCTGCTCCACCTGGGTTATGCAAGGAAGCCCCATCAATGTTTAGCTTGAAGTGATTAGGGTCAGGAAATGACCATACCACTAGAATAGCCAACTGATTCCTCTGTTAATGCCAATTAAATTGTAGATTTTTAATGATTGCTTTTTCTGAAACATGGAATGCCCATGATTTAGCATCAATTAACTCCCGAACATGAGAAATGATC